TGCTGCGCCTTTCCATCAGCTCCACCGGTCGCCGCGGTGCCTCCGGTCGGGGGCCTATCGTCACGGCTTGCTGGCCGGCCGCATCGAATCGCCTCCATGACGCTCCAATGGGCTCCGCGCTCGCCAATGGCTCGTTCAGTTGCACCCGTCCGACTCGCCCACCCCGCCACTCAACGCGCGTCATCCTGCGCCTCCAATCGTCTCCTCGCCGCTTCCTTCGTCGCACAATCCGTGGCCGCCCCCGCTGTGCCAGTCGGCGGGTCCCTGCCCCCGGAAACAGAAAGGTCGCAGCCCCCATCCCGAGTGGGGTAGGGTTAGGGGCGTGGCCCGGCATCCACGCCATCGGATGCCCGGGCCGTTGGTACGCCAATCCCCTGAGCCTCCATTCTCCATCCCTCCACCCGACCATGGCCGCTTGGAGAGAGCCATGTCGATCCCACTCTGTGGCCTCCACCCGGCACCTCAAGTCCACCATCGCCTCCCACAACACCACCACCCCGAGCACCGCCAAAACCATGGCGGCGCTCGGGGATTGAAAAACGGGATGGCGGCGTTTCCCACGCCGCCATCGGACACCTGGTCCCCCAGGGTTCGTTCCCGGCTCCGAAACCATATCGAGTTGACCGGTCTCTTTCGCACACACTCGCACACAGTCGCTCCCAGGCACGGGAAGCAAAACCGTAGCCGGATGCATTACAGAATGAGTGTATTGACTAAATACCAATCACCGCAATAATTCCCCATCTCCATTGTCCCCATGTATTTTCACCATAACACCATGTCCACCACATTTACTTTCCACCATCAAAAACACACCATATATCATGTATTATATATTAACCGTTCACTTGCCCTCACAATGATGATGATGAAACCGCATCCTCGTTCCGTTGAACTTCGCACGTTGGACATCCAAAAGACAGCGTGGAAAGGGAGGCGGACGCAAGTCGGCATGTTGCCTTGGAACCAAAACGGTCTACTTTGAGCCATCGGTGGCCGGCACAATCGACCAGGCGGGCGCCCCTACCACCCCGTTCTGCGCAAAGAAGCCGGGACGCGGCAAAGGCATAATCGGAAAGCGGTCGTCCAGCCCCGACGAGGAGGGTTCCTTCCTTGACTGTTGCCGCCGCGTGCGCGCGAGCGCGTCTGCGCTGTCGTCTGACCAGCCGGAGTCGGAGTCGGAGTCGCGACGGCCGAGAAGATCTGGTGGCCTAGTGGGCAGGCCGCGGCGCTGGCGCTCCTGGGGCTTGGAGGCCGGGCACGGCGCAGCGCCACAGGGCAGAGGACGCAGCGCAAGGGGAGGCGGCCGGAGTGATGGACAAGCACGCGCAGGTCAGCAATCTTGTGGCTCGCCGCATCGCCCCATTCGGTGCCTAGCGAGAAGGAGGAGCCTACGGTTTGCAGGTGGCCGCAGTGTATTCGCCCCCTGACGGGCGGGTCGCCGTCTGCGCGATTTGCAGGAAAACGAGCCAGCGGAGGTGCCGGACAAGGACCAGCAACAAGAGAAGCCTGCGCTGTCGCCAGCGCAGGTCGAACAGGAGCAGGAGGACCTGCTGATGTCCAAATACGGCATGAAGCCGAGGCCGAAGCTCATCCACGAGGTGAGGCGGGCGCCGGCCCGAAGAGATTTTCACAGCGCCGAGTCCCTGGGTCCCCTCCACCCAGCAAGTGTGACCTCACCTGTTGCCGACTTGTGTGACCCAGAGAGCGTAGTACGGTGTAATTGTGTACCGCACAAGGCAAGGTAAGTTGGGGGTTAGGTGGGTCTGAATTCTGCCCTGCTCCCTCCGGGCCTGCGCGGGGGTGCAGGGCTGGTACAACACAGAAAACAGCCCGAACACCCACGAGGGGATGGCCGCGACTGCCGTGTACAAATGTGCAGCGGCCGACAACTGGTGCCAGAGGCCTCGCGCACAGCGTGCTCGCTGCATTCAGGTCCTTTGGCGGCAGTCATGCCCACAATGTGGGCAGCACCGGTGCCTGTGGATGTCTTGATGCAGCGCAGGTGCTGTCTCTGGGCTGTGCGCTGAGTGTGAGACTCGTTTTAGTGCTGCTAACCTACTTGAAACGTGTAGTCGGTTGCTGCCGCACGTGGCGTGTAAAGTGCGGATGTCGAGAAAGAATCTCGCAGAACTTCCACAAAGCAAACTTTGACGGCGCGAAGAGATTTCACCCCAAAAGTGTGCAATGCAGCAGTTGAAACATGGGAGTCCGCGAAACTGAATGCAGAACTTCATTGGGCTACACCCAAAAGAAGTGTTGTTGGCAGGGTGCCCGGGCAGATGGATAGTGAGCTAAGAAAAACTTCAGAAAACGTCAGAAGGGCTGCCCTTGAATCTCTAACTGCACTTTCGCTTCAACAAATCTGGACAAGAAGCCATTCGAAATATTTTCACGCACATTCTTCTTTTGCTTCATTCTGGTTGCCTCTAGTGAAGCACATCACTGTCAATACCATGTCTGTCCATGCGGAGATGCACGAGGTCTACAACAAATGTGCACCATCCCTTGCCTCTCCGGGGCAGCACTGCTTTTGTCTCAGCGCCTTTTCCTACGTGATCTACCGTGCTGTGGTGCAGAAGGAACAGCAAGTGGGCCATCGAGGTTGCTTTAGGCATGGCTGCTCCCCTGCAACTGCACTGCAAAACCAAGCGTTCTTTCACTTAGCCTCCCGTACAACGAAGTTTTCCAACGACCACAAAAGTGCTCATACAATCCTCTGACAAACGTAAAGAAACACAGCCTTTTCCATTGCAGATGATAACAGGCCTTTCGAACCAGAAATTTCGGTCGTCCTCACAGCTCAACATGCTAGCCAGTGATGGCAGGCCAAATTTGGGAGAAATAGACCGCGCCCTTAACAGGGAGATTGAATGAAAGCCTTGCACGAATTGCTGGAGCCCAGGCATGAAAGGACTTGGAACATCGTTCAGCAGAAGAGAGGATACCCAAATGCTCCGCAATTTCATTTCCAGCAGCTTCCTCCCTCCAAGCACATTCACACGCTTGCACCGATGCCAAATCTTGACGCACGCTTAAATGGCGGAGTGGCGGTTTTGCACATGGGAACACGTAAATTTGATGCGTTGTGTAATGGTACACATGTCGGCCTTTGTGATTGTCACCGAAAGTGAGCATGACGTCGACTAATGTGCGCATGGTTTGTTTTTGAACCTGCACGGGTGCGTTCAGCTTTGAATTGGTAAAATCAATTGCCGATCATCGCATTTTTATCCCGTGCCTGTTCGCGCCAACGGTTAGGCTTGTTCGCCTCGCATGTGCATGGCTGTATCTCAAGCATTCTGAACATTTGAGCACCATGAGTGGCACCTGTTCTGGAAGTTTCGATTGTCAAACATCGCAGACGTTTCAGAACGCCTTGCATTGCGTCCAAGAGCAATGCAGCGCTCGATGCGGCACAAGTGGGTCCGTTGCTTGGGGTGGAGGGCCTGCAACTGTCGAGTTCGTTCACACTTGTGCGATTCCCAGATACGAGCCAAATCGGGTTTTGAATGTTTGGTGGCAGGACCACAGGTACTTTGATTCTGCAGACTGGGCCATGTACCAACTCAAGAACAAGTCGCTAGCTGGAAGGGCAGGGGGAGACCACCCTCTGCCTGAACATCGGCTGCAGCCCAAATTGGAACCACCCAAACTGATGCACGGCACCGTGGGTGGCCCGCGCAGACCGTCGACTAAGGACTCTGCGGGCGGCCGTTCAGGTTTCATTTCAGACAGCGCGGACACAATCAGGGAGGACTAAACTATCCAGTGTTTTGATGTACATAAGTGTGTTCGGGGTACATTCTCCACCTAGAGGCCAGTCGCTGTCACTCGTGCTCTCCACAGCGACATCCTTTGGAGGGCAGGACGCGAATGCCCGGCATGATGGCCCACTAGGAAGCTGGCTGAATGTGGGGACCGCATCTCCTAGACCTCAACTCCTTGCACAGGTCGCAAGAGATTGGCTGCCCAATTGGGGACTACGCGTTTGGCTCCATTCCTTTCCTGTGAGTTGTGATGGAATGGGGTGTGCCGCACAGCTGATCCATTATCGGCAAATGGAGCGTCTGCTGCGCAGTCTAGCATTTGGGATCTTCATGCACTGTCTGTGGCAGCAACCAAGGATAGGCTTTGGAATGGACAAAAATTTCAAGCAAGCGCAGCTGCCATCTGTGGGGGCAGGGCACTCGGGACAATCACAATGCGATGCGCCTTGTGTTTACATGTTCAGATGCATCCTCAATTTGCCCATTTCTCGAACGATGGACAAGCTTGGCGGCGTTAACTGGGCTTCCCTCTTCGTTTGCATGCCCTGCCGCCACCGCCACTGGCATGCAAACACATGGGGTGCCATCGACGTGCCACACATCCTGCTCCATATAATATCAACCGGAGCCGTGGAGTTCACACCAAGGGCATGGAATAGCGGCGAGGCAGGGGTGTTGCTTTCCCACGCGTCCTCCTTGGACGATTTCGGCAGTCAGGCGGTAGCTACAAAGCAATATATGCCATGGCTGTGACGTGCAGAGTGACAGAACATCTTGTCAAATGAAATAGATAGCGGAGGGCCACCATGCGCGCAGAAAAATGGAACGGCCAACGGCATGCACACATTCAGTCCGTCTCTGCAATTGCCTCTATCTCCACTTTGGCACCAAGAGGCAGCGTCTTTGCTGCATAGGCAGTCCTTGCAGGGGGGTCTGATGTGAAGTATTTGCCTGGCAAAGCATGTCATAAACAGGACAGAATATCAGTGACAGCTTTGGGGGTACTGGTTGTGGATAATGCACTGGTTTGGTCTCGTCTGCTTGTTGCACTGCTTGCTTGTCCTCAGCGGTGCATTAATGAATCCCACGAGCATATGTGCACCTTTCCCCTTCAAACGCACGCCATTCGGCCGCAAGTGCGGGGTGGCCGCTGGCTCACAGAAACGCAATTTCTATATTTGTTGTCGTTGAATTCCGGTTTGAAATTACATTGACCGAGCTCCGCGGCAGCTATTTGTTGTCAATTCCAACTATGCACTCGTGAGCGCATTCGATTCCGATCTCAACTGTGAAAGCAGCAGCCTTTGTGCCACAATCAACAGCTCTGCGGTGGATGTGCCAATCACTTCTGCACAGAACAACTTCTGTAGGGAATTTGCCATGCAGCAAGGCAATAATGCACCCACCGTAAACTTCGTTCATTGCCTTGAAGTCTGCCATGTCTTCCAAAAGCACCATAGTCTTTATCACTCGATTAAAATCAGAGCCAGAGGCTCTCAACACAGCTCCCATATTCTTCAGCGCCTGGTGTCACAAGCATGGACAGCACTGTATTGCTACCAGGGACTGCAAATCCAAAGGCAACCACAAAAGGTCTGGCAGATAGCACAGGCAGCACCCTACAGACCCTGCAAATGATCAAGACGATTGCTGTGCTTGTTTCTTCGACCAGCGGAATGCAATTTGCCTCTGCTGTCAGTGGTTGAGTTCATGGTTTGAACCTTTGTGGATGTGTTGACGAAATCTTGCACAAACGAATTCAATTCAGGAACAGCGCAACCAAGTTTTAGGCAACGCACAGGTGGTCAGGACAGGTGCCGTGCTCTCAACGGCCTTGCCAGAAGGACACTTGCATGTGACATTCCTGTACATATTGCACAGGGTGCATACTCATAGGAATACTAACCTGGTCAGTCTGCTCAGCGACATCTTCAGACACAAATTTGAGAGTCTGGAACACAATAGATGGCTTAGATGGCAGAACATACTCAACAATCTGTTTGCGCAAATGCCGCGCTTTAAAAAAGGGGTGATTCTATTGAACAACCAAGCTTACACCAATCGACGCAAGGGCTATCTGAAACAAGTATCCGCTGCAAACCCATATCCACAGGAAATGTGCCTTAAGGTCTGTGTGTGGAAAAAGTTCCACAGCAAAAAACTTACACAAGGCTGCTTGTACAACCAAAAGCGGCTTGCAAAAGAACTGTGGATGGCACTGTCCAGTGCGGGTATCAACTTACAGCTTACAGCATTATAACTTATAGCATACTCATCCTGCATTCTACCTGCCTGAAGAGCAAGGGAGATGTCAAACACAACAATACCCCAACCTGTTGCCATAGTTGCAGGAGCACAGCAGTCTGCACACTGACCAGGAACCCAGTCAGTGAAATCATATAAACTATACTGTGCCGCATACCTCCTTATCAACACCCAGCTGACCAGCAAGAAAGACAAGCCCTCTGGCCTTCACCGCTTGAGAATATGGACCGAAAGGCTTGGGGGCTTCAGGCGTACTCACCACCTCTCGACTTGAAGCACCTGGATCAACATCAGCCAGCCATAATCATAAGCAATGCCTATCAAATAGACAATGAGCTGTGGATGCAACGGAAGCCATCATCCTCGCGGCATATGGCTCAGGTACTGCTAGTGCTCCAGTGGGCAATTGTGGCTTGGGGGGATCATGCCACCTTCAAAAATGGCCGCAACTTCGGTTGGTGGGCCCCCTCATGGAAGCCATCCGAGTATGGCACTCTCCATATTTCATGGCCCTGTTGCTGAAACGCAATTGTTGCGTGGCTTATGCATGTTTTCCTTTTGTGTGGCACAAGCCAATTGAGCATCAATGCAGTTTGTGGCCAGCAGCGTTAGCTGCTGAAAGATCGACAACAATCCATGCAGAATAAGGGAGCCACTGATTGCACATTAGGTCCGAAAACAGACACATGCGTGCCAGTGTCGCGCCAAAAAGTGCCTCCTGCGCGGCCGGCGGATGCGAAGCATGGCGGCCAGCCTTTGGGACTGGTCAAAAACGTTCCCCACGCACCAGAAGCACAGACGACAGTGCGCCACCTCCTTGAGCCCTTGGCGCCAATGGAGCCACCCACGGAGAGTGTTGGAGCTTGTGCAGCGCACCGGCAGGCGGGCAGCCGCAACTGCGGAGCAACAACGGCTCGAAGCATGGTTCAGATCTTGGCTGGACTGCCAGTACATTGAGAGTTTCCCAAATAGTATACAGAGTAGGTACGTACCTACTCTGTATATACGTACTATATGCAGTAGGAGTCCCTATATAGCGCCCCCCCCCCGTGACATGGCCAAAAGGGGGGCGCTATTGGGGGCCGGGGGCGCTACTGTGTCAAGGGGATACCCTGAGCAACCGGTGTAAAGTGTACCCTGGCCGCCAGTGTAGGGAGTACCCTAAACTGCCGGTGTAGGGGTATCATGGCCGTTGGTGTAGGGGGTATCATAGCCGCCGGTGTAGGGGGTATCATAGCCGCTGGTGCAGGGGGTACCCTGGCTGCCAGTATAGGGTGTACCCTGGCCGCCGGTAGGGGGTAGCCTAACTGCCAGTGTACGGGGTACCTTGACCGCCAGTGTGCGGGGTACGCTACCCCCAGCCTGCTGGGTCCACACCGGCATTTGGGGCCAGCGACTGTCGCGGCGCCGAAGTCACGGGCGCTGGAGCCTGTCCCAGTGAAACAAAGCACTACGGGAACGGTGACGAGCCGTAAAGGGAGTCGCTAAACTTAGACAGGTCGCTAAATAGGGGTCGCTAAACTGGACCCCTGTACTAGTTTGAGGTCCCACTGCGCAACAAAGCTGCATAAAGTACTACATAAATGGTGACATGCCAAAAAAGGGGGCGCTATACAGGGACCCCTACTGTAGTGTGTTCTGGTAAATCTTGGCGGATCCAGGATGGATGCAACAATGTATCCATTTGAGCCGATGCATTGTCGCACCCTCCAAGGAATCGACAGGTGCCGCACGCTGCTGCAGCAATATGTTCAGCGAGAAGTATGAGCCACGCGCTGCTGCAAGCATGTGGCATCCCAAACTCTCGTTGTGCAGCCGCCTTGGTCACTCTAATTCTGTACATTAACCACATGCCAAGTATTGCATGCTTCAAAGTCAGCATTTCAGAACAAGCGCACCTGCCCAGGAGACAATGCTCCTGTTGACTGCAGGAGGCCTATCCTGGCCTTTGGTGGCACTCTGTAGCAGTCACAACAGCACTACACAAACTACTTGTCAACAGGCAATCACTTTTTGGGACACACACGATGTCAAGTTGGACGCACAGTCCCCACCACAATATCTCATGTGTGCGGATCTGCTCCTTCACAGGCTTGTATTGACACTGGGACACCCCTTTCCTGCCTGTAAGTCCTTGGAATGTTAAACCAGGACTGCATACTGTACAAGGGACAAGACCTAAACACAACTGATGGACAATCTGTCTATTGATCTATGCTTGCTCACTATCCATCCACCCAAATATATGGAGCTCTTCCCAGGGGAGCCACAACTCAATTTTGTTCCCCAGCATTGTCAATCTGATTTGTCCATGTGTGCTTCCCAGCAATCCTCTCAGGGGAATGCACATAGACCTGTTGATCAAACGATGCAGCACTGTCTGTAGCTCCTTGCAACGTTTCTGATGCCCTGCACCATTCCCCCACTACCAAAAGATGGAACCTTCCCCACACGAAGTGCGCATCACCTGTCCTAAGAATGTTTGACCCTGCTGGTGCTGCATCTCTATTTCTGCTGGTGGACCAGCCACTAGGTCACAGTGCTCATTTGAGCAAATCCTGTTGTTGACACACAGGAGAGAATGAAGCGTCAGTCACTGCCTGTAGCCCCCGCTGTGATGGGAAATCAAATCTCCATCAGACAATCAATCTCATTATGCAGTCGCTGCAGGTCCCTTTTGGTCCCTAATAGACGCAAGACCTCTTCCTTGAGAATCGTTCGCTTGTCCATTCCCAGAACTTTAGGGTTCCATTGGCGACCCTTCCACTGAGGCGCTATCCCACTGCCAGCCTCACCCACAGGACCCAGCAGGCCTTCACAGATCTCCCTTAGCTTGCTTTCTTCATCACCTTTCATCTCTGGGGATCCTACAGTCTTCACCAAATGGCGAATGTACAGAAGCAACCACCTCTTGTACTCCTTAGGAGACCTAAGAACCAATGCTGCTGCCATATTGTGCTCTAGGTGTGACCGGCTGTCCAGGTCAGGAGAGCGGCAATCTGCAGCAGGGAGCCTGGAAGATTGATTGTGGTGTTGGGCCCAACCAGTCTGCAAACTGAAGAGCTCTCCATTGGCCCCATCCATATGTGCGTTCCACTTAAATGTAGTGTGGTAGTGGGAAAACGGAAAGCAGTCATCGACAATACGCATCCAGCTCTTCATGCTCGTTTTGTACACATAAGAATGGTAGTTTGATAAAATGCAGAGAGGCATGCCACAATTGCTCAAGTAAGCGGCCACAACTGCGCACAAGGCAACATGGCAAATCAGTGGTCAGAACTGCCGTCAACTGGTCATCAAGCCAGTAGAGATAGTAGCGATCATTGAATCACTGCCATTCTCTTGGCGATGTTACAAAGAAGGGAAGAAGAGCAATGGTTTTGCATCAACAGTCACAACATTTCTCCACTATACAAAAGGACAGCCTGACAAATTGTCTGCAACTGAAACTGGCGTCTGTCAAGATGTACAACTCGCGCCCTGAGGTCAAGCTACGCCCTACCAGAACAGGATCAAGGCCACCAGACAGTGGCCCCTTGGGCAGATTCAAAGCCAGCCGGGTATACAAAGAGTTACACAGCTCACAGTTGCAGGCTGTGGATTCTGTTTCAGAACTGAAATTACCTTGATTATCTCCAGATAGCAGTCCAAACAGGGATGTCTCCACCAGGCACTCCACTTTGCCAACGTCCCAAACGCGAAGGTGACCTTGGCATGTCAGAGACAGGAGTCTCCAGTCCCCATCGCTGTCTAGAAACGATGGCTTTGCACCCAACAAGATGGATGGCACAAGGCGAATGCCAGATGCACTGAAAATCTGTTCACAGAATTGGCAGCTTTAGCGAGCTCGTGTCCATTCATTTTGCCCTTGCCATTTCTGTCACTGGACAACGATGGGAGAAGCAGGATATCTGTCATACAACGAAGCCCACAACACAACACAATTACACATGATACAGCAAAACGAGAGAGCAAATTGAAGTCAATTTTGGTTGCCTGCGGTTGAACAACACACAACATTTTCAAGACTGTCTGTTTGGGGAAAGGACAGCATGTGCATGGCAGTACCTGCAAATCACCCTCAGCTGTTGCGACGGCACAAAACCTTGGACTTCCAGCCACGAGTGCAATGCTCCCCTTCACTTCTGCCACCCAAGCTGTCTCAATTCCGTGCCGGCAGACAAGCCGAGCATAGTCCTTCCCCGTACTAAATTGTGCACCATTTAAAACTTCCACAGTTATATCTGCATCTTCTAAAACATCCCAGATAGCCTGGTCGTCAGTTTTCAAAGGGAACACTGCTCTCTTTGGAGGCGCAACATCAGGGGCCACATTCAACTTCTCCAACCCTGCACCTAGCTGTCCCGCCTGTGCAGTCTTCAAAGTAACAGGCGTGCTCCCAACAGCTGGTGTTGCAGCTGCAGCCACCTTCAATCGCTTGGATGGTGGCACAGAAGGTGGTCCTTCCTGTGCTCTTTTTAAATCGTCAGAAGGGGTGCTTGCCTTCAGGCCAGCTGAACGAATCTGTACCTCGTCGTCACCACCATTTTGAGGAACACAGGCCGCAGAAGAAGTTTGTTCGACTCCTATTGGCACTGGCTGAATTTTCCTTCTGCCATCCGCTCTTCTGCTTTCTTTCTGCTCCAGTGGCTGTGCAGGGCCCGACCTGCTCACAAGTATTGCTGGTCTGGGTGAGGCTTCACCTGCCTTGGACCTAGCCAATTCTGTCCTGCCCAAAACTTTACCTGGAGTGTGTTCTGCCTGTGTGCCATGGGGGTGCCCACTCTTTAACAATGGTGTCCTTGACTGTTCCATCTTCAACTGTTCTGCACTCTCTACAAGCTTCACCCTTCGCCCGGGGTTCACATCCCCATAGAGTTCACTCAGGTAGCCACTTATTTTGTCGTCCGGTGCATGTGGCCCCAGTGTTTGCTCGTTAATAGACACGACGGCGATAGTGCCATCGACTGATGCCACCAGGAAATCCCACCCACCAGGAGCCCATGCAATGTCTGAAACACTCTCACGGAAAAAACTCTTTCCAACATAAACAGGTCGCTCGTTGCCAGAGAACCACATCGAGTACATCCTGTCATGACTCCCAATCACAAAGCAGTGAGCCATTTCGTCTACCCCACTAGGACCCTTCCTCATGAACAACTTTGGACAGTACCTTGCAACTGTAACAGCCCCATGGTGGCCAACCAAGTTGTACACTTCGCTCCAGTCTCCCCGCCTGATCACACTCCCAACATTCTTGCCACTCTGATATGAATTCACAATCGTCAAGAACTGGCCATCAGGAGACCAACACAGCCGAGTGAAGAAGCAGTTATTGATTGGCTGCTGTGCGAAAGGGGAGGTTATTCTGTGTGTCTGCGTCCAGTCTGATGTCTGCCAGATGATGACACTTTTGTCATCTGCCTGACTGGCCAGGTACAAGCCCATAGGGTCCCATGCAAGACCCTTCACAAAAGAGGTGTGTCCGTCTAAAGTGGCTGTTGGCCTGGATTCTTCCACATCCCACACAGCAATGTGATTGTCCAGACTACAGCTAGCCAGCAGGTTGGCCTCACCATCAGCTGGAGACCATGCAAGATCGGTTACATTGGTCGCATGGAACCTGCATGCGGAGGATTCACACACTGGCCATCATGCACAAAAAGGCACAATGTTTGACACATCAAAAATTTTGCCTGTCAATAATGCATGTACGGTTTTACTGAGATGTTGCAGTTGAAAGCGCTGTGATGACACCTTCAAGGCAACGAGTACCAATCCCAAGCATTGCCATTGTAGCAAGAGATGGGGACGAATGCAACTGTAGCAGCCAGTTTGTTTGCAAGTGAGTAAAGTGAATTCACTCAGATTTAATGCTTTCTGCTGATGCGACAAACCTAAAGTTGGAGCCTTTTGTCTGCTCTCAAAACTTTTTCTTCTGCTTGATCTCAGGGACTGCTGTCAGGCATTTACTCAGATGAAGATAACCAATTATGAACGAAAACCACAATGATCAATTGTAGATTTGCAGATGCAGGAAGCCATCCCCACACTGACATTGATCCCATGGAGTGGAACATGGGGTCCAAATTCAAAATCAGCTCAATGTTGTCACAGGGCTGGAAACAACCTCTGAACTGATGACAGAGGAGGCAGTGAGCGGGAATCAATGCATCCTTGCAGTGTCCACACATCTCATGGGATTGAGTGCTCAATGAAGCTAGTGACGACGCTGCATTCTGGGCTCATTTGATTGACATTTTGGATCTTATGGGTTGTGGAACATTGGGACATGGGAGCTCTCTGAAGTTTGGGATTCTGGGTTTTGGGGATATTGGGACATCAGATACATTCCTGCCGACACTACATGCTGACACTAGACACTACATTCTGATGACTCCATTGCTCCCAGTCAGCAGCCACTTCTGTATATGAATCTCTCTCTACATGGACATCTCTTTATTTTGCTTCTGACCTACATCGCCGAAAGGCGGCACAGGCTGTTGACAACATGTTGACGCTGCTGGGAGCGGAGTTGGGTTTAGTGAACGCTATGTAATTAAGGAATTCATCATCATCACATACCTCAGCGGTTGAAGTTTGTGGCGTCTTTTGTCTCTATTTTACCTCTCCAATAGACTCCAAGGCATGGCTCACAACTGCCAGACTACAGCGAACTCCATAAATGGAGCAAACACACTCCACAGCTCCCTCAAGTTCCAACACAATGGCACTGTCCTGCACGGCCCAGATGGTGACGGACACTCACCTCAATATTTTGGTTTGCCGCCAGTTCTCATAGTTCCCTGCATCAGAGCTCCCAAAGGCAGCCTGACCGCGCCCTGGCATCAGCTCATAAAGGAGAATGCAGGCGTCATCTGCACCAGAAGCAATGTACCGCCCATCTGATGAAAAGCGAACGACGCTGACTGGCATCGTGTGCCCCACTAATGTTGCCAGGAGCCTTGGGACCTCACTGCGAAGCTCATTTGCTTTGGTGCCACTCAGGACGTGAAGAAGGCTCCAAACCTTCACCTTGCTGTCACCCCCGCCGGTCACAAATCTTTCGCTGCTAGGATCGATGTCGATCGAGAATATGGCCTGTTCATCTGCATGTCACAGATGAAACAACTCAATGGGCTGCATGGCCAGCACAGTGACATTTCAGCTTGTGCCATACGCACAGAGATTGTGCTTCCATACAACAACAGAGTTCCCAGCTTGCGTTCAAACAAATTTCTTGTGGAAAATTGGTGGATCCAGGGGCACATAGGAAAACTGCTAGTGGCCGAGCACAAAAAGGCATCAACACGCAACCGTACAAACGCAGATCATCTTCCCAATATAACAAGCGAACAGCACATTGGGATTTCACACCTGTACAGGGTCTTTGCCAGTGCAACAGAAAGACGATTTCCAGTACGATTTCTAAAGATGGATACACATAAGGAGCCATTTGGAAGCCATCGGCAGCTCTCGCTCCACTATTATCGGGCCGATGAGGGCGAGGAGCCTTCAGCCTCGAACGATCGAGCCGAGGGACCGCGTCCCAAAGTCACGGACAGAGCACGGTACACTGTGGCAGCCAGTTTCTTCCCCAGGTCCCACACATGCCATATCGCTGCCAACACACAAGTGCGAGGTCATGCGCTTCACACAGGGTAATCCCACGGACAAATGGCCTGTGTGAAGGTGCCGAAGAAAGTAGAACACAGGAGGACACAGGGGAGGCAGTGGTTTGTGCTCGTTGCTGACCGTGCTGGACCCATGCAGGCCTGTCGACGCGGCAAGGCTTGGCCATTGCGTCGTTCAACGGCGCCATGTGCTGCCGCTGCTCCCGTTTTGCTGTCCTCGACCGCCTCTTCGCGACCCGGGAGTGGGGGCCGTCTGACAGAAACCCTGGTGCGTGGCAGTGCAGCGCGGGTCCTAGAGGTCTGGGACGAAAGGTTTAGGCTTGAGGGGTACACCACTCAAGCTTCAGCACTGCAAGTGGGTAGGATGAGCAACCGTGGGAATGAACTTCGGTTCTCTTTGGGACGGTCTCCGCTGCGTCAGGAAACAAGAAGCTCACGTCCAGAAAAGAACTTACATAGTACGGCGATTGTCCCCAGCAGTGAATTGTACCGACTCACTCATTTCAACGTACAAATGCCTTTTCCGGTTCCGGTGAAGCGCTCCGAGCCTTGCAGATGCGGATCCCGGAGCCGAAAAGCGCGAGTCTGGAATGTTGGTATAGGGAACCCCAATACCGTACGTCACTTTTAAGGCTTCTGATACTTCCAGGCCGGCGTACTTGAACCATATCTTGACAGATTCAGGCGCAGTCGAGACGCTGATACAGAATCTGTATTACAGATCGCTGTTGGGCAGCTTCTGTTACCTTCCTGTAAGTTCTGGTTCGTCTCATAATAGGGAGAAACTGAGGCTACCGCATTGATTTTCGTCGGGGAATATGCCCTTGCTCGAAATCCTGTGCACCACGGGTCGCCAGCTTGGGGATATTGCTAATGAATCCACCGTATTTCCCATACCGTACACATTGGTAAGTCGAAGGTCTAAAATAGAACGCCGAACATGCCTTTAGGTGAGCAGCGCATTTTTGCCTAAGGGGACAGGCGCAAATGCTGCCAAAACACTTGGCAGCATTTGCTTGAAGTCTTCAAGGCTCAAGAAATTTGTACGAAATGGAGAGAGCATGACAGCTACCCCTCATGGCAGTATACTCGCGAGAGTATCATGAACAGTCCGGATAGGTAACGGATGCAAGCCAGTTCTAAATAGGCAAATGTACTGCCGACATGGCGTCCACAATTTCATGGAATTAGGGAGCAAACTGCACAGATATGGGTATGTGCAGTGTCAAATTGAGACCAAGCTCAAACCCAAACCGCAGTTCCTCTCCCCGAGCGCAATTTTTGTTGCCAATCGTTTTGCCTGTGCTGCGTGCTCATCATCTCACACTGGGAGACCTGTTTTCTTTCGAAACGTAACATATGCGACAGGTGTAACATATCTCCAGGTCAAAAACAACGGATTAGCTGCCGATGGACCACAACCTCCAGATGCTGCGAACACTGCCGCAAGTCATCCAGATTCTGGATGCCAGGCGCATAGCCACGCCCGCAAAAGGCCAAGATTTATAGGCCCACCACCCTCCGAGTGGACTGGAGCAGCCCCCAATTGCGCTGCGAGGACCTTCGTCCTGCGAGGCGCCCTGTCCAGCCAGCCCCTTTGGCCAGTTGAGAGCGGGGCACATCAGCCCCAACTAGCACACGCCAGTCACATGTTTAGACAACAAAGGCGAAGACATCAGGTTGGATGGACCAGCGCCATGATGCACTGCCCCTCGCCTCGCAGGGGACCGCGGCTCCTCCCCACCTATGCTGCTTAGCTACGGGTGAAAGAGACTGTCGAAAGGTGCAATGGATACCGGAGTACCGACATGACAGAACGTCGGTCTCAATCGCCATGGGCTGGGCGAATAGAATGCGGCAACAAAATCAACTCGCTTGCAATACCGCTGCCAATTGGCATCCCAGAAATTGGGCCATGAGGGTAAGGAAAGCCCAGGCCGCGCATTGCGCAACAGGGCCATTGAAAATTCAGCCGCTCATCCCAAAGCCATTGGCCATAAACAAATTCATTTGAGCGAAAATGACAGTCAAATTATCTCCATCGATGTCCAGTTCTTGTCAATTGAGCAGCAGCACACCCAGACATCGCCTCCACAAAGTGACCCTGTTGTTACCTGCACCGTTGCCCTATTCAGTAATACCCAGTGCCCGCAACTCTTTCAAAACTTCTTGTTCTGTCGCGATTTTGTCAAGCTGTGTTGGCTGTAGCGCTCCTTCACCTGTTTCAGAAGAAAAATACGCGGTCTCGTCAACATTGCCTGGCAGTGCGTTCAGCGCCTGAATGGCCACAACACTCGCCACAACATGAACGCCTTGTCACAGCAGCGGGCTCTCATTGCGAGGAGTAGCGCAAATATCAAGCAGCCCCCACAATTGTGACGTCAGATGTGTTGGCAATTGGAGCAGGCCCAGAAGTTAGTACACTGGAGAGATATTGTGCACAGCTCCAGGAACAGCACCAAGACCGTTGTTTGATGCGATAATTGGCGGCATTCACTGCAAATGACCGACACTACCCTGTGCAAGGACGTTTTGCAGCGCAGCCAGCATGTCCACATTGTCACGTGTCATGCGCCTGACCCTTTGCAATAACGTACCTGCGTCTCTTTTCTCTTTAAGCTGCTCTATTTGGCGCAGCTTCTTTTGCAGTGCTCGAATTCTCTTCGCCTTGTCTACCTCTCCGCTGGTGCCTTCATCGGCTGTTGCTGATGGAGGCTCCACTGCATAATGCCACCGCAAAACAGCACAGCTTTCAATGCAGTGAACGAGATTTCTTCTGGGATGGACTGAGTACTGAGACCACCCAGACAGCCACAATGGTCCCATAAATACCTGAGCAATAAAGTCAAACAGTGTGCGAACCAATTTGCCAGGGATAGGTAGCTATAAGAAAAGCATGAAACCAGTTCATGGTCAATAGTGTGTGGAAAAACCCTGCAGGCTAGGCTTGTGAAGACATCCAATGCATAAACTAGCAGAGGTACAGAACACATCAATCCCTCTGTTACCTTCAGCAGCGGGAAATTCTTGATGAGCAGCCCCTTCCGACTCCATTGGTGTCTCTTGCGTTTCATCTGCCTTGTCGACGTCTTTTGCACTCTTTTTCTTAGCCCGTCGTTTGGCATTTCGGGCAGCAGACTTCGACACGAATTCCCCACCTGCAAGAGGCAGTTCATCGGGCAACCTCTTCAGAAACTGCACCACAAAAGTGGCAAGGCAAGCCCTGTGGTCATGGCTAAAACGTTGAAGTCATGCCACAAAGTAGGACCGGCCTGGCGATCGCCTGCCATACCTGGTACTGTGGGCTTGGGTCTCTGAAAAACCCCTTTTATGCGGCCGGCCTCATCCTCACTGTGAGCCAAGCTGAAATTCTTTGAAGCTTCTGCTGACTGACGGCCTCTTAGATGAGGAGCTACATAAGAAGATGTGCTTTTTTCCTGCCCTCCTCTTGCACCACTGGCAGATGCTGAACCTGCCACATATACAGCCGAAACTTGGACGAACCACAACCTGGTAGAGGCAGTTCTGCTGACATGTGCTGTACTTGTTGGGTGCTGTCAAGACAGCCACCTTCTTCTTCAACTTAGGATAGACTCATCAATACTGGAGGAGTTCTTCCCTAAGATAAGATCCAACGAATAGGCATGGTCCCGTGCAGTCACACAATCTCCTAAATGAGTGGCACGTTGTTTAGGCATACCGCAAATCGACAGATTTGGCTTAATTGACTACTGAAACCCAACAGAACTGTAGTGATGCTCCACATGCCATTTGCAACCTAAAATCAGGCAGAGGCTTGACTTGTCAATGCATAAAAACAAACAATTTCGTGCACAGGAACGCCAAGCTGCTCGACTATTGTCAAGCCCAAAACGAATTCAAACGATCTGGCAATCACGGAAACAGTCCGAGGATGAGAACTCTGCATGCAAAAGCCAGTGCACCAGGAAGAAACAGGATAATATCTGTGACAGTCTCCAACACGTCTATCGTATTGATGGTGATAATCATCTGGCACCACGCATCCTATGGTTGAATGCATTGCAGATTTCAAATGGAAGCACACAGGAAAGTGCCTCAGAGAGCCTGCTGCAAGAAGCAAGTGGCAGATCGAACACATGGGCCTAATGAGCACAAGTCGGCAGATATCTGCATGGGAAACGTAAAACACGGCGCTTTGTTAACATCCCTCCACGTAACAGAGGGATGATATGTGTCAAATTGGACCATTTACAGATTTGCGTTCATGATCAAAGACAGGATTTGCCATCAACACCACTGATATCAAGTAGAACACAGACGAAAGGTTAAACACAACGCACTGGCGCACGTGCGTTGGGCATCTGATATGGCCATCTAAAACAAGGGCAACTCAGCCCAAAGAGCGGCAATCACCAAAGATCATTTCCAGACTATCGCCATTCTTGCACCTACCCTCGGACGCAGCTGTGGCCCTGTCAGGTGACTGCGGTCTGTCAGGGTAAGTGCCCTGCGGCGCTGCAACCCATCGAGCCTCAAACAGTTCCGTGAATTGCTCATGATGTAACTTCTCCCCGTAGTATGTGAGCACCTGAAAGCCGTTGTCCACGCGCAAGCGAGGAGCAGTGAGCGCGGTCAGGACATGCCTCCCATCTGGTGCCCACTCCAGTGACACTGATGGACAACGCACACTTCCCATGCGCTTGCACGTTCCACTTGACTTTTTATCAAAGAAAATTATGTCACCTGTAGAGCGGCACTCCAACAGAACAAGTTTCAGTTCAGCTTCCCTCTGAAGAACGAAGTAAAGCAGCAGACAAACGTGTTGCCAGGTAGTCCGGCAGCTACCAGGACAATTTGCAGTCAAACCCAAAAATATCCTATGAGCACAGTATTCTGGCATGATGTTTCAAATCTTGTTCATATGCAACGCAGCCTAATCCAGCTTTTCTGGATATTCCAGCACCCACATAACGCCGATGTCTCACCTGGAAGGTTCCCGAAACCAGCAATACACAGGAAACGGCCTTGAGGGTTCCACCGAGCGAAGTTGTATGGACCACTTCCCAGATCGTAGATGGGTTTGCATTGTGAATTGAACAAGATTGGTTTTGCTGGCATGAAGCCAGCGATGACAACAAAATAATCTCCCCTGGGAGACCACTGGACATCATGGATGGGTCCCTCTGAGAGGTGCACGCGTTGGTCGTTCGAACCGTCTGCTGCCAAGAAATGTAGTTGCTGCTCGCCATAGTAGTTCTTATTGGTGGCATCGAATTCTGAGGAACAGACACAGAGCAGAGCCTTCCCCGTGCTGGTGCCAACAGCCACAAACACACCGTAAATTCAGCTGGCAGGGAATCTTGCCATAGCACCAGACATGGACAACCAAGCTGGAGTGTGTGCATCATGCAGCAAGGGACCGTGACCTTGCCAAGGCAGTTCTCTGTCTTCCAGACAGGAGATGTTAAGCATGCTGTCGATCAGGATCAAACACAGATTCTCTTATTGTACTGTCGGTATGAGACAGCCCAGTAGCGAACAAAGGTCTCCAATATGTGCACTGTTCATGGTGACCACAAATTAATAAGCCAGCAATGCCATTTGATTGGCTGCTGAACACAAACAACCTGGAAACTTGGATGTCTTCACCATGCAGTTGTCAAGGTTCTAGGACACCTAATCAGGAGATGTGTTGCCACAGGACTATATCCCTCACATTCTGAGAAACGACAGGCTGTGCAAGTGGCCTCCTGCCCAGTGGCCATTGACAGTCCTCCATTACCAGTGGGCAATGCAATTCTTCAGCCAAAGGACGCTTGAGAAGGAAGACAATACTGGGCATGCACTCAAGGACACTATGCCAAATATGGCCAATTTCAGCTATCCTTGCATTGCACAACGCACATTCAATCTTTCTTGCCATGCTCACCTGTTCCACAGCAGTTCAGCAGCCGAGACTCTGAAGAAGCTGCGACGAGCGAGCGCCAATGGCTTCCCTGTGGCATCTGTGGGGAAGCTGGATACAGCATACAGGCAGACACTGGCTGGACCTCCCTTCTCGGCAACATAGGCCGCCACCTTTGCATCGACACCAGGCGACACAGAAAAAGCTCCAATACTGGGCAGAGGAAGCTTTGAGACTACGGCTGTAAGCAGAAACCACACATTTTCAGTGCCGCTGATCCCCAAGACTATTGTCTGGCAACTGTTTGTACTATAAAATTGGAGAAAATACGAAAACCATGGTACTTTGGTGGTGCCAATAGATAACAAGCCAGGGCTCCTGTGCAGCATCTGCGGTGCTGATCAGTATTGCAGATGCTGGCACAGGAGCTCTGACTTTCGCTTGTACACACCTGGCTTTCTAACATGGAGGCAAACACAACTGTATCATTCAAACTTGCAACACTCCGTCGTCTCGAGGGGCTACTGCAATTGTGCAACTGCAAAAATTGCTAGAAGCCCAGGAAGAGCTGAAAACGAAATGAATAGTGGTTTTCATCTGCTCTGCTCAACTCATACTCCAATGTCTGCATCACAGCAAAGCATTGGCTCAAGCAGCCCATAGAAAATCCCTGCGGTGTCAACAACATGTGGAACCTGACAAGGCTGCTGCTTTTATCACTCCACAATGCTGGGATTTTCGCTTTCAATTAAATTGACACACCTCCCATATGCGGTGTGATATCAACCAGGCATCTGTATAAGCAGCTGCTTATTTTCGATGCAAACATAACACAGGGATTTGCAGAACATCACACCTTTAAAGCCATCGGCAGGATTGTACACATGGACATTGTTTGTGACCATGTGGAAAGCAGCTGTCTCATCTGTGTTCCATTTAATTGCTGGCCACTTCTCTGCAGTGATGGGCTTCTGATGCAACTCCCACACAAGTTCTCCACTAGACACAGACCAGACCTGGAACACAGATGTGTCAGAAAGAAGTATGCAAGGCAGAGACCTGCTGAGAAAGAGGAACAGCGATCTTCTGCAGCAGTGTTCTAAATTTAAGATGGGAGCAACCCAGCAATGAATTTAAACACACCTGAAGATTCTTGTGGCCGCCCCCAAGCTCCTTCTTGGGCCTCTGGTAAGTGACCAGGTATGTTCCTTGTGGCGAGAAGCTGACAGAAACAGCTGAGTCGATATGCATGCTGTGAACCTGCCATACAACAGGTGGTGTGAGAAGACCTGTTATATGAAGCTACACATCAGGCAAGGACAGCACAAGGAGCACACAGAGCCAACAACAGAACAGGGCCAGCCTCTGACATTCTCTGCATGGAATGCGATGTGTAAATCTTCCAAAGCACCTCCTGAAATCGGCAACACGCTGTGCTTCAAGCTGCAAACCATATGTTAGCTGTGTCCACCCTCACAATTCTCAAAATGCGACCTGAAAACCCAAGTGCAACAAGCCAGGTTAATGCTGCACCTATTGGCCTTGTAAAGATTGATTTCTTGGTTGCACCCAGATTTCTTAACATGGGTACAATGCACAGTGACGCACTTGTGAATCTGCTGGTTGTGATGGTGGAAACAGTTTCAATTGTCCATTTGACATGGCACTGGCACAAATCTGCTGAAAAAAGTTGTGAGTGTTGCTTGGGACCAAGAGTACCACTCTCGTCATTCTTGTCAATGCCTCCCTTTGCGCAGCAGGAACCATGGAAACAAGTGTAAAAGTGCTTATGCACAACGACACCTATGGCCCACACACAGGACTGGCAATGTTCCACGCAATAGAAAATTGAATATTATCTTGCTAGGGTACAGACAAGGCTACAAGTCACCCAAGCAAGCACATCCGCAACGGGAATTGCATACTGTTTCCATAGATTGGGTTGATATGATGTCCACTTTCTGGCGGCTCCCCGCGCACAGCCATTTTCCATCGTCCGAGAACTCGATGGTGCCAGTGGCGCCGCTGCTCACAAAACAAGGGCAAGGCGGTTGTCAGCGCAGCTTGCAGCTCACAGGGGGTGGTGGATGGCAACTGCACAAGGACAAGTTGAAATTGATGCACAAGACATTCTATTCTCCAAGAACATAGATGGACAGGTGCTGCCCTGTGTTTCTCTTCACATGCCTGGTTGCCTGCCCACTGTTTTGCATGACATCTGAGTCGCCCCAAAAACACAAATGTGCCAAAAAGCACGGAGATTTGATGGTATAGGGTAGGCCAGCATGTCTGACCTCTGTAGATCTTCAAGTTTGCCCGTCGCAGGGGGGCCCTGGTACAAGGTTGTGGCATTGTGAGTCCTGGCTGCAGCACAGTTTCCAGTCACAACTTAAATCGTCAATCAACAATTCCACAACGCAGATCTAACTAGATTTGCCGTTCGCCAAACCTGTTAACCTCATTCCAGCTGTCACGGGCACAGACACATGCACCATGTACATCCTCCAAGGCAATGATCCACAGCCCAGACACATCTATTGCGACTCGCGTGTTCAGTGTGCACACAAAGGGAGACGGCTGCAGGGCAGCAGACGGCTCTTGCGCACACAAAAAGCCGCTGGCGCCCAGGCGGCGCCACCGTGGCAAGCGTCACCGACAAGATCTGATCAACCATTGGGCAACCCATCTGTACGGCGCAAAAAGGAGCGAATCCATCCCACAACAAAGGCGGCGGCGCTGCTGCGCAATCTACCAACAGAAGCAACGACTCACTCAACAGCCTCAGAGGGGGCGGCTCTTCCATGGCGCAGTGCTGGGGAACGCCAAGAGCAAAATGCAGAAGCAAAAGCCGCGCCTCTGCTGCGCACAGAACAAACTCCAGGAAGCACCAAATCCCAAATGTGCAAGTTCACCCATTGTCCAAGATTTTACAGAAACTACCGGCTCCTGCTGGCTACGCTGCGCCCCTTCCAAGCACAACAAATCGCAGAAGACTTCAGGGTTTAGTTTCCTGCTTATTGGGCAAGTCCGTCGAGCAATGCTCAATGCCTGCAAGCCAATGGTGCAAAACCGTGCACGTGCTGCAGGTTCCGTGCCAACTCTATCCCATGATCAATGGATTGGATTGCAAATTGGATAACGGAGGCATTGTTGGAGCCCCAAAATGTAGCATTTCCTGCGCAAAGGAGTCCAAAGTTAAAGCCACAACGTGCGTATTCCTTGCCAACGTTAACAATTCTGCCCCTATATTGCTCCTTCCAGGCTTGCGAGACCGTCACTGTTGTTGCACCACTGATTGGCACGACGTGCCAATGCACAAATCACAAATAAATATCATGCCACATTGCATGTGTGTAAGGGCATAATGATATTTAATTGCGAAAGGCGTTGCAGCCCCAGTCAAAAGAAAATGGCATACATCTCGAGCTGTCCATCGCACTTTTCCCATGCACTGCTGGGGTATAACCGTTTTGATTTGGCACCGATAGATACATTCTATTTGCGACTGGCATAGTCGCTTTTGCACATGCGATGTCCCTTCGCCTTCTGGGATCTGTCCATGCCAGTAGGAGTGGCGGAATTCTATCACATGCAACAGGCGGCAGTTCTGAGAAAGAAGTATCACACGGGATAGCCACAGCTGCACATTTGGCGTCAGGGTTCCGGAGATCCACCTGGGAGTTGAGTGCAGATGCTTGAGGGAAGACGCTATGTCGATTTGGTACGTTTAGCATCAATTTGACGTTAAGCTTAGAACCCCCGCCCCCCCACCCCCCCACCCCCCCACCCCAGCCCACCTCTCTTAGCGTCAATCCTTGTGTCGGTGCCAGGATTGCTCAACAACGTTTTCTAACAGTGCTATACAGTTTCTAGATGATTTAGAGGAGGAAAACTGTCAGAGTTGCGTAGAATTCAGTTGGTTGAAAAATGGGAGTTTAGAGGCTATGATAAGCGAGGCTGATCGCCTCAATGGTTCTAAATTGATTCATTTTATAGCCTTCCTTCAAGATTGAACACGTGAAAGAGTGTTGGAACAAGTCACGAGCTGTTTCCAGCTGATCTGTGGCGTTTTGGGGTATCTTCCCTCCTTACGCCGATTTTGTGGCAATTGCATAATCTCTTAGCGTCGTAGGTCTGCTCCCCCCCTTCCCCACTACCATCAAATTGACGCTGAGTTTACTAAAATCGACACAGTGCCATCCCTTCCACATATGGGGTTCCATCGTTTCCTACCTTTGGTATCACACTAGACTGGGGGAAGTACATGGCACATGAAAAAATCACACCAGTTTTTTTTTCCGGCGAAGCCCTGAAGCGCACAAGAGTCCGACATGGCCACGTCGTGATTTCTGAAAGTACTGACATGTGTGCACAAGAGCACCGAAAAGCGCAATAGTGCATATGGACAGCGTGCAACGCAGACATGCTCAAAAACGTTTTTGCAGCACCCTCCGACATAAATTTAATAGCAAAGAATGCGTGTCCTGCTGCTGTCTCTCGTAGTTGTCAAATGGTTTCCTTTTAAAAGCAAGGTCACATTCGTTGCATTTGCGCATTTGCAAAATTTAGAGGAACGTTTTTGGCCAATCCTCCGTCATTCCTGTGTACATGCAAAGGAGGTGTCGCCATGCTGCAGATGCGTAAGAAGTGTAAAACATACCAGTAGATGGTGAAGACCGGAGTCGGAGGACGACGAGTAATTGACGCCGATGAATGCCATTGCGTTTCAACCGCGCATTAGCTTTTCAGAACAAACAATCAATGCTGGTCCATCATAATTGGATAATTTTCGTCAAGTCCAGGACAGCCCGAAGATGTTGCCCAGTACGTGACATGCGCAGAAGCGAGCGGTTTCAATGGAGGCGCCAAAAAAAAAACAATCAGAAAAAAGAAAGAAAGAAAAATCAATCGGAGCCTAGAGAGATTCCTGGGAGCCTGCACCTGCACACTGTGGTGGACTGAGTTCTACTCGCTGGGATGCCATTGTGGAAAACGGTGTCGTTCCAGATGTTGGCACAGAAGTGTGAGTGTATCTTAACAAATGACCATTTGACCTTAAATTGTATTACGCCATTACCTTCCGTCCCGTTACGCCATCGCACTTTCCCCTTTTCTGGTCCACTCACGCCCTAACGACTTGCCAGATGCCCCGATCCGGGGGCGGGCCTCATGGTCCGCCCCCACCCGGAACGGAGAGGGGCATATGCCTGTTATTTCAATCGTCAACGGCCCTCCGGCATCCTTAACGGTTGCGATTCCTGCTTTGGCGCCATACTCAAGCGCCTAGCCACGCATACCCTGAGATGCCATTTTCCTCCCGAAGGAGGCGAGAGGGCCGTTTCCAGGCATACCCCACGGGCTGTGGGTGGGTGGGTCGTGCAAAATCTCTCCGCTTCCCACTATCGCGGCCTGCCTTCCCCGCCGCCTTGCTTACCATCCCTTGGGCTTGCTTCCGCGGCGGGCTGGCGGCAGCGGCCACGCTAGGTTATGGTCCGCAGCAACTGACGCGAGGAGCGACAGCCGCGATCGCTGTGCTGTGCACTTTATTCCATCAATCGCGGGTCAGGCGCGTCCGCGCCCCTTAATTTCCATTAATCATGTTAAGAATGTCGCTCAGTGTGAGTGTATCTTAACAAATGACCATTTGACCTTAAATTGTATTACGCCATTACCTTCCGTCCCGTTACGCCATCGCACTTTCCCCTTTTCCGGTCCACTCACGCCTTAACGACTTGCCAGATGCCCCGATCCGGGGGCGGGCCTCATGGTCCGCCCCCACCCGGAACGGAGAGGGGCAT